GAAGGAGGAGATACAAATATAAAAGTCTCTTCTGTTCGGAGGCATATACGATATATATGCTCCATAGGTGAAGGAGCAGAGTGATAGTAAAAAGTATATGAATATCTCAATACTCAATTTCCTGTTAAGGGAACTATATTGCATTCATCTATTACTTTATAAGTCTGTTTTTTGCCATATCAACTCTGAATCTGAATCACAAAAGAGCACTAGTTACCTCACTACAAACATAGAACATTTTGGACAAGAAAAAGACATGGGACATGGGCATGATCCACTTTACATGATCCTTTACTGACTTTGATGCAGGCATAATTCAGCTAGCAATAAAGGTGAAGCAAGCCAAATAATGTGATACAATACTGTGACATAGGACCAAGTTTACAGGCTCATGCATATATGGTAAAGCTACTAAGCTAGCTATGATGAACTCTTTGATTAAGCTTTGATCAGAACATGCACCCGTGATATATACATATATCTATCAACTTGCCTGACAATATGAACTGGATAATCTCATGCATGTTCATGGACATTATTGAGCTTGCCTAACACCTTAAAACATATACCTCTTATCTTATCACCCACCATATAGCTAGGTTATATACACACTAAACTGTACGTTTAGATAAGATTTCTATTTCTTTAATGTTACCACTTCATCATATCCTTTGCAGATTTTGGCTATTCGCAGACACATGCAGTTCACTATATATAGCTCTTTGATCTCACTTCAGTCTGAAACAGAGATGAAGATCGATGTAGCTAGGTTCAATTCATACATTTTGTTATCTTCATCAAAAGATCTGCACAGAGAAAGAGAGAGAGAGTGTGTGTGTGTGTGTATTGGACTATATATGGAGGGTAAGCTTTATATATAGATATGTTTTTAACTGCGCTAAAGAGTAGAGAAAGAGAATAAAAGTTGACACAGAGGTGAAAAAACCTTTTCACGTGTGTTAATAATTGTAAGTTTTGAGAAGAAAACAACATAAAAGACAAACAAGAAGAATAATCAAGACAAATGATTATTGATGAATGGCCAGTAGTCTTACGTGGAACTTTATTTCTTTCTTCTACCTTAGCTTAGCCCACACTGTGTATTGTATATGTACATACAATAGAATCTCACAGTAAAGCCATGAGAGAATTAGGAGAAGATATTGTTTTAATATTATTACCAAATCAAAGCTTGCTATATATATATATGTCAGATTAATCAACAGTTGTACATGTATATATACATTGCACCATATATGATCTAGATCTTCACATAAAATCAAAATGTCAGATTTAAATAATTATATGTTTAGCATATATATGATTTAACTGTAACATTTTGGACATTTCTGACAATAATAAAGCTAATTAAATATATATGAACTCAAGCTATGTTTTTTGAGTGGATAACATATATATAACTTATTTGGCCTAGATAATTAGATCCAATCCAAGCTATTTCTAATTGTATATATAGACCTCCAGACTGAGCGAATTGCTCAAGTAATTATGCATAATACTAGTTTCAAGATCGATCAGAGGGAGATGATCGATGATCGATGATGATGAAGATTACAAAATCCAAAAAATTAGAATTATCACTGTGAAAAGAAATGGTTCCACATTGTTATTGTACATAAATCCATCTTACCATAAGACTATTACATGCATTCTCAAGAATTATGGCACTATATATATAAAAATTGTTCTAAGAAAAAAATTCATGGTTATATTGAATTGATTGTAATTTATTGAAAAATCCAGTGCTATGAGATCCAATTATACGTACCAATTAATATCCGATTTATAACTACCGCAGAGGAATGTGACGTGGTGGCCTTCTTCACTCTTCTAGCTTCCATCAATTAGATCAACTGAATGAACAATAAGATAGTCCTAAATCGCCATGTTTTCCCACAGCTTCCTTGAACTTCTACCTTTTATGTATATATCGATATCATATCGAAAAGAAGTTCAAGAAAGCTGTGGAAAAGCATGACAGAACTTTAATAAGTTCTTCTACTATACTAGTTCAATTCTCATGATGACCATCTTCATCTT